GCTGTAATTCAGTAAGAGGTGTCTTATCTCAACACTTAATTTATTGAAGCCTACAGTTACTCTTCTGTTAGACTGAAAACTTTCCTCTCGTAACAGCCTATTGCTCATATGTTATGAGAGGGTGCGCCTAAGGGAAATCACTAGCACAGTAAGTAGATCTGGAATGTACTGTGCATGGATTTTCCACCCACACCACTCTATATCTTTTTCCATTGAAGTCTAACCTCGGATTCAGAAATCCAGAGGAAGCAGAGTAAAGTTCTGGTCCTTGTTCCACCTCCCATCTCCACCATACCCAATTGCACTTCCCCACTAGTCCCATTTTAATCTTCATGTGACTCTAAATAAAGTGTGTTGTGTCTCTTGTGGTATCTTTGGATGCTTCAGCTTTGAAACATCACCTAAGCACTTCATGAACATGAAAAACAACCAGCCTGTGTCAGGTTGAAAGGGTTATCCAGGCCCTGCCACCCAGTGTTTGAAATTGCCAGAAACATAGAAGAATGTAGGGAACAACAAGCCATATAAAATGAAATCTTTCCTCTTCTGTTATCTCCCATTGCCAATGTTCACCAATTTGAGGCTTCCCCCACTGGAGCTCACTGTGCCATCATACATCCCTCCCTTTTCAGGCAGAGAAATGGGGAGCGAGGAAGGGAGTTCTGCAAAAGACAGGAAAGAGACTTCTGATTGTAAAAGTGATGAGGTTGCACACGTGTGCTCTGGGGCTTTGGCAGGAATCTGGACTGGGCCTTTAACATGAACCTGGGGTCATAACTTTTGAGTATTCAGAAATACCTATTTAAGTGTTGTTGCTTCTAGCAGCACAAGATTTATTTGGTGTTCTTTTAGTCAAAAAGTTATTCCCCTTTGGAATCTGTTCTTCTGTTACAAGCAGCTGTAAATCACTGAGAGCACCATATATGCTAACAGAACATTGAGTGATTTTAGAAGAGTTGGTCACAAAAGGGAAATACATGTTTTTTTCAGAGCTGAGAAAACTTCCAGGTCAATTCTTCACGTGCTAGGAAAGTGATGACCTTCAGATCTCAATCAGACTTCACATCTTTGCTCTCTCTGTAGAGGTACAGGGGTGTCAGCCTCACCTGCTAGCTGCCTGCTGAGATTCACCATAGAACAAGATGGCTTCCTGCATGGCGGGAATTTATTGAACCCTTTGGTGCTCTCAGTGACAGAAGCTGTTTTTGAGATCTGGAGAAATACTGCCGCAAGCTCTATTCACAATTTCTCTCAGTATGCCAGTATAAAAAACACTCAGTTTTTGGTGGTGCAGTTTGCTGTGTGCTCCTCCAGCCTCTGTTTTTACAGGGTTCCATGACCATCCTTCATTAAGCCTTGTGAGTTTAGGTGAAGGTGCTGGGTGAAGGTTTTAGCTTGGAGAAGAGAAGGCTCCAGGAAGACTTCATTGCAGCCTTCCACTACTTGAAGGGAGCTTATAAAGAGGAGGGGGAATGATAGATAGTGATAGGACAAGGGAGAATGGTTTTAAACTGAGACAGGAGGTTTAGGTTAGATATTAGGAGGAAGTTTTATCACACAGAGGGTGGTGACACACTGGAACAGGTTGCCCAAGGAGGTTGTGGATGCCCCATCCCTGGAGGCATTCAAGGCCAGGCTGGATGTGGCTCTGGGCAGCCTGGTCTGCTGGTTGGTGACCCCGCACTTAGCAGGGGGGTTGAAACTGGATGATCATTGTGGTCCTTTTCAACCCAGGCCATTCTTTGATTCTCCTAAGGTGGGGGCAAAAGACTGTTTAGAGGCATCCACCCACAGCAGCAATCATTTGGAGCAAAAAGTTACTTACTTTACCCAAACTGGGAGCGATTGAAAATGTGTATTCTTCCTTTGTATTTACATTTTAACCTCTCAACAAAACTAGGGTAGTACCAGATGCATGCAGAGAAGATGGGACATGTTCTTCCCCTTTATAGGCTGCTTGTGCAGTTCAGCAGAGGAAAGTACTGCTAGATCTAAAAATATTCCTGGCTCAAATAGTCACATCTGTGTGTAGCACAGTGGGAAGGTGGCTTCAGATAGTATATTTTGAAGAACTACCCTTTTGGTGCTGTGAAGTAAAGGCTGGGTGTATTTCAGATCTCTATTCAAAAGCCACCTGTGTATGATACACACAACCCTGCAGAGTCAACCTGTAAACCACTGAGCAGTCTTCCAAGAAATTTAAAGTACCATGGTATTTGGGGATTTAACACCAATCCTAAAAGCGCATTGAGTAATGCATTGCAGGCAGGTGAAAAAAATGAGGGCTGGGGGAGATCAGACCTATTATACCCTGCATATCTATCACATGTTCAGATAGTGCTCCCATCTGCTTACAGAGTTTCTAACACTTTTTAGAGTAACAATACTTAATACACCTTGTGCACTCAGCTAAAGTAAATCCATGCAATTTCTTCAGCAGATATTATATTGTGTTATACAGCAAGATTGTAAAAGCTACAGTGACCTTATTCTTTCTTGAGTCAACCTGGATTAGGGTCAGCACAAGCATCTTTCTGAAGTTTCACTAGGAAGTTAGTCCCCCACTGGTATTGCAGGCTGATTTTCCATTTATTAGTGTAGAACTGAGTACTGATCACTTTGAAGTTGGTATTTGTCTTACTGTACTTACATATGATAGCTCTGGCAGGATCACATTCCACTGGTATAGTGGGCACATAAAAGAACTGGAAGATAACATTTATTCAAGTGTGAGATTTTATGAAATAGCAAAAATTCTAGCAAGACAGTATTTTTGGATAAACCATTTCCAGGTACAGGCTTGAGCAATATTCATATTGGATACCTGCCAAAATATGTGCAGTGTTCTGAGCTATATCAGGACAGTTAAGTACCTTAAGAAAGCAATTGTTTCACAAATCTATTTAAGCAAGGTTGCTTCCCCTGTTCACTTTGGCTTTAGTGCCAGGCAAGCTGAAGAAGTTCACTGAGGCAAGAGGAATTATAGGAGCATGATGGAAGGCTGTTGTAAACTAGTATAATCTCTGAAGAATGAGAAAAACCATTGACATTGTTGTTTGAGTCAGAGTTGTATTGGTTGGAAGAAACCTGGGCTGCTCATCCAATCTCCTGTACAAAGCACATCTTAGAACCTGTGCTCTGTCCTTCTGCTCTCTCAATGTTTCTAGTGATTGAGGTATAACATCTGTGAGCAACATGGTCCAAGGTTTTATCACTTTCATGGTTTAAAAGAAGTTATAATTTCCTTTAAAAAAAATAGGGTTTTTTTTGTTGTCCAAGTTGTGCATATTGCTTTAATTGCTCCCAAGTGCACAGTGGAGAAGAGTCTGACTCTCTTCTCAATTACGTAGATACAGAAGGTATAAGATTTCCCTATAGCACTCTTTTCTACAGAGTAAACACAGCCCAACTTCTGGGCCTCTCCTCAATGCCATGTGCTCTGGTCCCTGGGCAAATCCTGTTCATTTTCTGCTGTATTTGAACATTCTTTATTTCACAGAATCATTAAGGTTAGAAAATACTTCTAAGATAATCTAGTCCAGCCATCTACCTGCCACCAGTATTGCCAACAATGACATCCCTCAGTGCTGCACCTACACATTCCTTGATCACCTCCAGGGACAGTATAATCAATGAATATACAGATGTTATAATTAAGAAATATACAGGAAAGTTAAGCTAAACAGGTTATCACACCAAAGAAGAATGGATGGAAAGCTTACCCTTGTCCTGGGCTTGCTGAGAAGACTCCAAGAGGAGCAATCCCCAAAAGAGATCTTTCCTTACTGGTAGTCAGTTCTTAAATTGGGTCTAGGAGAGGTGGAGCCAGGCTCCACCCCTTCTGGCAGCACAGGTGAATTGCCTTCACCTGTGCTCCCAGGGTCGACTCATTGCTCACCTCAGGTGATCAATCAGAGGTTCATGCTGTGATTCAGCAGTTCTCATACAGACTGTGACTCTACCACTACCCTGGGCAGCCTGTGCCACTGCCTCACCACTCTTTCTGAGAAGCTGTTTTCCCTAATATCCAATCAGACCCATCCCTGGCACAACTTGAGGCCATTCCCTTTCATCCTAACTTCTACCGAAGGAAGGTGGAAGTAGATAAAAGTGGCATGCTACAAATACGTTGAGAAAAGTACTTTCTCAGCAGTCTGCAAGCTGCTCAAGATCTGCCACAGGGAGGTGATACTCATCCAAAAACTGAAACCATGTAAACTGGGCTGATTTGTGAGAAATAAGCATTTGAAATAAGCCCAAAAATGGGCATTGTATTTTAGATTGAGTCTCAACATAACAATATCCTTCATGAAGCCTTAAACATGTATCAGTGTATGATTTTAAAGAGTGCTGGTAATTACTCTTCCTTCAATTGTAGTATCATACTGTATGGGTATCTCTTTTCTCATCTTACTTCAGAAGATGTGAGGCTCTTTGAAGAGCAGTACTGGTGGGCCTCTATGTATAAATCTCCAAACTCTACCTTTTTCTCTATCTCCCCGCTGACCTAGAAGGCACCAACCTTCTGTTCCACTCCCCACAGTACTGTTCCTGTTTTAATTTGGATGCCAATAACATTATTTGAAAATGAATATGTTTCTTTGAAGCATGTTATCAATCTAATACTTCACTGAAGGGAGTGTAACTTTAGTCAGCTGCGTTTGCAGTGGCTGAGCATTGCCTGAAGTTTCTAAAGCACTCACTGTTCCCCAGTTTGCTCAGGGTGTTCTGTACAGATTGCCTTTATGTTCTGAATTTGAGTCTCAGGTTTCCCTGGAAGGTTTGTTTGTGACTGAGCGGCTGGAGCACTCACTCTCTCTGGATCACAGGACTGGAACTTGGCTCCAAGAATCAGAGAACTCCTGTTGAATTCCCTGTTAGAGATGGTGACCAAGTGACTGTCTCAGTGCAGGAGTTGTATGAAGTTACAAAGTGAATATACACAATTGGTAGGTACTGCCAAATATGTGTATACATTCACTTTCTTTTTTCTTCTCCAGGCTGGCTCTCATCTTCAGGGCAATCAAATGTGCCTGGGAAAGCTGCACCCCCAGATGGTGATGTTGGTTGTTCATATCCATGGAAATGCAGACCTGAAAACGTTTTTGGGAGGAGAGAGCAAGAGGAACACCACAATTCTCATGTTTCATGGACTGCCTGTGAAGCATTTTTGAAAAAATTACAACTCTGTGGTTTTGAAACTGATTTTGTTAGTAGCCATCAACTTAGTTGTCAGAAGAGATGAGATCCAGACTGTCACTTCCTGAGATGAATAAACAGCCTTCTACGAGGAGACCACTTTTACACGCACTTATGTCTTCAGCTTAGTTTGGGCCTTTGGGTCTGTGGTGATAGGACAAGGGGAAATGGTTTCAAACTAAATGAGGGGAGATTTAAGTTGGATATGAGGAAGAAATTTTGAACAGTGAGGGTGGTGAGGCAGTAGAACAGGTCGCCCAGAGAAGTGGATGCTCTGTCACTTGGTGACACTCAAGCTCAGGCTGGATGGGGCTCTGAGCATCTTGATCAGGCTGTAAGTATCCCTGTTCACTGCAGGGGAGTTGAACTGGATGGTTTTTAAGGGTCCCTTCCAGTTTATACTGCTCTATGATTCTATGAAAGTGTTTCAGCATATCCTTGGGTACTTGACTGTAGTTGCTTCGCGTCTCTCCTAACTGAGGCAGGAAAGCAACACTGGAGATCATCCAGTCCAACGCCCCCATTTAAATCAGGGTTAACTCTGTTGCCCAGAGAAGGGTGTATCATTGCTCTATCAGCAGTGGAGGAAAAAAAAAAGAAAAAAACCCTTTCTATTTAAGAGAGTTTTCCAGTATTCAAATTTATGCCTGTTACCTCTTATCCTTTCACCAGGTAATTCTGAAAAGAATCTGGCTCTATCTTCTTTACTCCCCACACTATACAGCAGATACTGATAAACACTGATGAAATCCCCTTGAGCCTTCTTTTCTTCAAGCTAAACAATTCAAACTCTCAGCCTCTCCTTGTATGTCAGATGCTCCAGTTTCTTAACCATCATTGTGACCCCTCATTGGACTCACTCCAATATGTCCATCCCCTCCTTCTATGGAAGAATCCAGAGCTGGATGCAGCACTTCAGTTGTCTCACACCGGTGCTGAGGGGAAGGATCACCTCTCTTGACCTGCAGGCAGTGCTCTGCCTAACGCAGCTCAGGATGCCGCTGGAATTCTTTGCCACGAAGGCACATTGCTCATTCATGTTCAACTTGTCCACCAGGATTTCCCAGGTCCTTTTCTGTAAAGCTGGTCAGCCCCCAGCCTGTACACGTGCTTGAGTTTATTACTCCTCAGATGCAGCACCTGGCATTTCCATTTGCTGAATGCCATGAGAATTCTGTTGACCCATTTCTTCAGCTTGTTGAGTTCCCTTTGAATGACAGCACACCCATCTGATGTATCGACTGCTCCCAGTATTGTCACCTGCAAATTTGCTAAGACTCTGATCCAATCATCCTGGTCATTAATGAAGACTTTGGGAGGTGCTGACTCCCAGGTACACTACTAGTGATTGGCCTCCAGTTGGACCTCATGTCACTGATCACAGCCCTTTGAGCCTGGCAGTTCAGTTAGCTTTCAGTCCCCTCTTCTGTCCATTTATCTGGTCTGTATTTCATCACCTTGTCTATGAGGATGTTATGCACTGAAAGTCTTGCTCAAGCCAACATAAACACCTACTGGCCTCTCTTCTTTCAGCATATCACTCACATCAGCTCATCATAGGGGAGGTATGATCTCCACTTTGTAAATCGATTCCGACTACTCCCAAACACCTCAATATGTTTTGAAATTTTTTCTAGGAGGATTTACATCACCTTCTCATGAACTGACATGAGGCCATCTTCCCTGTAGCGTCTTGAATCCTCATTTCTGCCCTTCTTGAAAATAGGAGTGACATTTGGGTTTTTTTTTTTCAGTTCTTAGGAGCCTGCCCTGATCATGGTCGTCTTTCAGAGATTAGCAGGAGTGGCCTCACAGTGACACCAGCCAGGTGCCTGAATGTGTGTGGTGTACTGGGTGCATCACATCAGGTGGCATCTGGTTCTAGTTTCTTGTAGCACAGCTGCTCTGATCCTCTCCACTGGAGACACTCCAGTGAAGCCTATAATACCGAATTTAAAGAAAAAATCCAGAACAAAAGGAAAAATTCAGATGCGTAGAACATATGTATATATACTACCTTCTGTGGATGTTTGTTTGTTTGTTAGTTTGTTTTAATTTAAAACAAAACAAAACAATCACCCCACACCTCTAGACAAAGGCAAGCAAATTTGTGTTCCCCTGAATATGGTAAAACCAGTTCTGCTAGTGGTGACACCTGTAAATCCTGTTGACTATAAATGACCTTATTGTCATTTGCCTCAGATTATAGAAATCATGGACTCTCATCAGCATGGCAACTTGCCTCTTGCAAGTATTAACAAAAATCCACTTTTTAGATCCAAAGTATGGAGATCAACTTAGCTCACCCCCTTTTGAAAGATTTCTTTTCTGTACCATCCAGTATTGCTTGGATAGGTCTGTGACCACATAAATATTCAAAGATATAGGAATACAATTCCTTCATAGGTCTAGTTTCTTCAATTTCCTCTGCTTCAGAGGATGATATAAAACTCGTTTACTGATGATAGAATAATAATTTCAAGATTATCTTTTATTGAGATTTAAACATTGTTGCTCCTGTGCACTTTATTCCTAATTAATAAAAATTATGACATTCCACAGATTTAGAGGAAAAAAATAATCTTCAGCATCTCATTACAAAGGAAGAAAAACATGATGCAATTGAGAAAAAGACGTTTGCTATATCATGTAGTGTGGATGTTATAGAACCAGTGTATTCACAGCAAAATGAGTATATTTATACCACAGTATTTCCCACAGAGCAAAGAAGGTGGATAATGCTTTGAAAATAGAAGGCCAAATACAAATAATTAATTTAGGTTCTTTGTTTCAATTGTGGCAGAAGAAAAACTGAGTCTATATTCACATTTTAGTGAGGCATGTGACTATGTCATCTAAGCCAAAAAGATGAGTGGGTACCATGGCAAGGAAGTGAGGGATACATGGCTTGAATCCCTTTCCTCAGCTGAAATTTCTTGCTGTACTTCTATCATCTCCACAAAGTGGGTTGATGAGAGGTGTTGTCTCAGTTACACAATTCACCAAAGTGTTTCCCATATGCAAAATTGTCTCTTTCCAAACAGGCTAGGTGACAATCTTCTACCACCATACATGTGATCAAACAAGTTAATAAACAGTTTGTTTTAATAATAGGGTCTTAATAATAAGACATCGTGAAGACTTAAGTCCTGCTGCAAGGTCTGGTTGGAAGGTGCCTCTTGAGGTTATCTTTGAACTTGATTAGCTCAGCACTGCACTATGTTCCACATGGCCTTGCCTGAGTCTTGAAAAGGTGACAAATGTTCTTCCATCTCTCTGATGTACTGCTCAACTACCCTCTTGTTTATCCTGATGTCCAGACTGAGCCTCCCACACCACATATAGAGCCAGTTTCTCTTTCTTAGAATAAAAGGCACTAGCAGGAAGAATTTGGGTCTGTCACTTTTATAATAATCCTTGAAACAGTTGTAAACTCTTGTTACAAAACTTCTTAGCTTTCCTTTTACCAGACTAATTCCAGCTCCTCCAGACTCCGTCACTTTCTGATAAGCTCTCCACTGAACTCTCCAGTTACATCCCTGTTGACAAGAGGTATAAAAAAATGAACACAGCATTTCAGGTGTGGCCCCACCAGTACCAGATAGAAATGATCAGCAAAGTTCCTTGGATGTATTGGCCACGCTTCTAATGTATCCTGGTGTACAGCTTCTTTTACAAGAACAAGTTGAATGTTCACATTCAATCTGGAGCACACTGTAACCCTCAGAACTATCGCCCAGCCAGTCGCTTTCCAGCATGTACCCATCAAGGGGATTATTCCAGCTGTTCCAGGTGCAGAACTTCATACCTCTTATATGGATCACAAGACCTTTGTCCAGTCCTTGAGGTTCTCAGGGTCTGTCTGGGCTGAACTTTCTATTTCCCTAATTTAGTGCTATCTGCAGATCTGCTGGGAATGAATTCTGCACTGCCATCACATTGTCAATAAAGGCGCAAATACGGGTGCCAATATGGACCCCAGGGAACTTTGCTAATTAACAGCCAAATGTTGACTTATTGACTGCTATCCTTACAGGCTCATAATCCATACAGCTTTCAGTCCATCTAAAAGTCTGCTTGTCCAGTCTATCTTTCTTCAGAGGGGAAGGCTGGGGCTGTGGTACCAAAGGGCATACTGTAATCAAGGTACATTACACCCACTACTCTGCCCTTGTCCATAGAGCCAGTCATTCTATCATATTAGGCAGCTCATACAGGACTTATCTTCCAGGGCTGACTGCCCCTGACTATATGTTCCATGTCCTTTAAACTGCTTGAGGTGAACCTGACTATTTTATAGTTCCCTGAGCCATTCTTCTTGCCTCTTTTAAAGATTGGCAGTGGCATCACAATCAAGACCACAGGATCAGGAAGGCTTCCTGATCAGCGTGTGGGAGAAACCCAATGGATCTGAACAGATGCTGTTTCTCTAGTGTCTAAGTTGGCCATCCCCTGCTGGCTGTTAATTTCTTGTAGCATGCAGGCACTATGGAAGTAGCTTTTTGCTCTGAAGGTGGTAGAAAAAAAGACATTGAGTAATTTAGCTTTTTCACTGTCATCTATTCTCATTAAGAGCTTATTTTCCCTGAACATCCTTTTCCAATTAGCATTTTGCAGAATCTCTCTTGTTCCTATCAGTTCTCCTCAGCAGTCTCAGCTCCAGCTCCGTTCTGACCTTTCTGATTTTGACGCTAAGTACCTAACACTGCTTTTTAACTTCTGTTTTGCTGCCTGTCTTTGTTTCTGCCTCTTCTCCAGTAACTTCTTGAGAGCTAGTTCACTGAGAAGCTCCTCTCTGGCTGTGCATACCTTCTGAAACTCCCAGGCTTCCTGCATGACAAGAAGGTTTGTTACTGAACACTCACTAAGATTCTTTTAGAGGCCCACCCATTCCCTTCATGGTAGCTCCGCTGAGGATCCAGATTAGCAATAGCTGAGCAAGGTCCTGTTTGCTTCCCCAGAGTCCAGGGTCTCAACTGTACTGCTCACCTTCCAGCCTTCCATTCAGCCCCAGCCTCCAGGATATCTTCTCAGTCACATCAGCTTCAGCAAAGAGCATTCTCCTTTGCAGCTTAAACAAGTGAGGAGCTTTGAAAGCAATAA